TCATCGCCCCTTGGTTGGTCCTCCTTGGGAATTCTATATCAAACGTTGAAGAAGGATCTGGATAAGAACACGCAAGGTATTTTTGTTAGTTCACCTATTCTTAGTATTGGATAGTTCATTTTCATGGATATCACGTGATCTTATTTGTATCATCATCATTATCATCATCAATACCACCATCATCAATGTTAACGTTATCGTTATCGTTATTATTATTATTATTGTTATTATTATTATTATAATCATAACTATAACTATAACAATATTCTCAGTCATACATTAGGAATACATACATTAAATATAAACGCGGTTTTTTTAAAATTCGCGTTAATAAAGTGTATCGTTAATTTCCTATAATAAGAAAGACCCAACCCATACTAGTTTGCTTCACAGACCCTCTATTTTCTCTTTCGATCGTCGAGCATGTGAATAGAAAAGAATAGAATAATTCAGAATAGAATAATTCTTTATTTAAACACGGCAAAATTCATCAGGAGTATAAAAAATTTTAAATAAACCTAACTAGTACCCTAAACAATAACTAAATAACCTGTTTTTCATGAATGCCGTGTACACAGTACTTTAAAAGGCAGAAATTCAAATGAGCCAATCGTTTAAATTGTCTTAAAGATTTAGCCTCTCTCATATCACAGGGCAGGCTGTTCCACGGAACTGCTCCGCTATAACTGAAGTTGTTCTTCATGAAGTTAGTTCGCGGGAACGGGACAATTAGTTTGTTAACAGAGTCCCTTAAGGAGTAGCGCGTTTCATATCGTTTTAAAACAAATTTAGAGGATAAATATCCTGGAACAAGATCATTTAAAGACTTGTAAATAATTAGGGCTTTTTGTACTTGAAACCGAGTGCCCAAGTCTTTCCAATTAAGCTGTCTAAATAAGCGGTTGGCGTCAGCATCATATCTAGAAAAAGTTAGAAGACGAGCAGCACTGTTCTGAAGCTTCTGTAGCCCGTCAGAAAAGTTTTTCCACAATTACCCCAGACAGTTTTACAATAATCGAATTGAGATTGATTGAGAGCGTTGTATATACAATACAGAGTAGGCGTTGGAACAAAATCTCTAAATCCTTTATCTGCTCCTATCCCGAAAGCGATCTTTTTAGATAATTATCGATATGTGCGTTTGCAACCGTAGATTTTCATCAATAGATGTTCCTAGCGATTTTACAGAGGTAACTTTTTCTATCGGAACATTATCAATCGAGAGCTCGGGTTGGCTCGACGAAGTACCAATTTTTGTCTTGATCCAATTAGCATAAATTCAGTTTTAGCAGTGTTCAAAGTAAGTTTGTTGGAAATAAGCCATTTGTTTAGATTACCTATACCGTAAATCAAGTTTGACTGTATAAAATTCACATCAACATCTGCATAAGTGATGTGTGTGTCATCAGCATACATCCAAGGCTGGCATGAATTTAGGCAGTTTGGCAAATCGTTGATGTAAATAAGAAATAAAAGGGGACCAAGAATTGTTCCCTGAGGTACCCCGCATTTAAGTCTTAAGCATTGAACGAACCGTAGGGGATTTATTTACCGCTTGAATAAGGGGGAGAGGGTGGGTAAATGAGAAATAAATAAGTTACTGAATTATTTTCATTTTTCTCGGTCTCCGCGCTCGATGAATATGAATTTCACGCAAAAAAAGTAAAAAAGGTCTGAGCAACCTCGTTCGATTCCCACTCTATGCTTTTCGCTAGAAAGAAAAACGGCGTAGGATTGCTGATCACGTGTCCATCTTACACCCTTCTAAAAAAAAGCATAACAAAGCATAATAGACCAATTCCGATATATTAAAATTCACACTTGGCTGCGAAGCTTGGGGGAATAAAACAAAAGAAATCATCTTGAGGCTCAATAATGAATAATACATTTCTTTTGTTTTATTCCCCTCAGGCCTTGGAGCCAAGTATGAATTTTAATATACTGAAAATGGTCTATTTCGTTTTCGAGTGGATCTTCTTTTCCGAAGGGGTCTTCTGGTCTTAGTTGGTCTTCGTTTTAAATACTACCCCCGAGAAAAGCAAGGGTTGTGTCTGCATGCCTCTGATCGACTCGTAACTGAGCAGAACATACGTCTGTTTTATTGCCATTTAACACAGTGTGGAAGTCTAACACTAACAGTTTTTCAGGTTGGTTGTAGGAAGACCTTGACTTTACTCTTGTTAATGCTAAGTATACACGGAAACTACTTTTGCTATCTGACAGCATGGCCGGTTTAATCGAAGGCTTGCCTCTCAAGCTCGAGGCCATTCTTTAGCTTCCCCCAGTATATTAGCAACGCACTTGTTGTACTTGGTTCCAAATCAACTGCAAATTGAAAATAAGTGCTGCGTTATTGGCATCTCGATCACTCCCGGCTTTTAATTATAACCCAGGAACTTTAAAGTGTCTGCCTGTGACTGTGAGATCGTGATCTTCTAGTTATTTCTGAGGATGTAGACGATGTTAACTGTCAGCTGAAAAATTGCCGAAAATTTGCCTCACAGCTGAGAAATCAGGGGTACCCAACGATGGTTTCCTCCTAAATACATTGAAAACACTTTGTTAGGCTATCCAGAGTACTTTTAGGTATCTAGAAATGCATTCTAAGCGGCGCTATAAAATTTGTATCTGTTCGGTCATTCTAGGGGAACTTGGGTCTTTTCAAAATTACAAGGGCTTGAGTATTATTTTTCCGAAAATTTTAGATGAAATTTGACGTATTACGAAAGTGAGACATTTTCTGATTCTTAACACCACCCCATTTTTAATCCGCAAATTTTAGGTTCCCTTATTTTCTACGAAAAATATCCTAACTAACTGGAAGTGAAATATGAAAATTAAACTTAAGAAAGTCGTAGGGAATTTATAAGATAAGCTTCGAATTCAAAACTGTACGTGACTGAAACAGTCATCTAGAAATTCTAGGCAATATGTGCCTCTCCATATTTTACAGAAAATAGTCGTTGCGTGCCCCTGAGAAATGTATAATAACTGCTAGCTGACATCACTGATAAATTTGCCTTCAATGTATTGTAGATACCACCAACAAATGGGGCAGTTTTAGAATAAATATTCATTGTGAACTCTGATGGCAAAGTCGCCATTAGCCATCCGTTACTTAACTTTCGTGAGGTCGCAAGAGTTGAGAGACTACAACAAACAGGCTAGAAAATATGGAATTGGGAGCGCTTTAGGGTACCCTGGGACGAGAGATAGCCTCCCTCCTCGTAAACAGGCGCTAAAACAGTACTTGTCTGTTTTTGCAGGCCGACAAAATTCCCTGAGAACTCCCAGATTTTGCACAGTTATGACGTGCGTGGAAATGCAGTCACGGTTTTCAACAGTTGAAGTTTTCTTATCCAAATTCTTTTTTGTTGTATTGCTTGTCGGCAGATTAACAGTAAAGAACAATATATTTTTTTCTTGTATTCGGTATTCCAAGCAGAGCAAGATTTATAATTTCGTCGAGCGCGAAGCGCGTGCACCGCGCGTGACTCCTACGAGGATCGCAAGGATGAAGCGAGTTTGGTCGGTGTCCGCTTTGTTGTCATTGCATTGTTGTTTTCCAGGGAACCGAAAGCGTCGTCTCGCTTTGGTCATATTTCTGTTTGGTTGGATTTTTTTAAAGCCCGTTTTAGGAGTCGATAAGTGCTTTTTGGGATAAATTATGAAGGCAAAAGTACTTTTGAGAGAAAATGGAAGCGATTTGGATATTAGCCTTAAGATGTGAGCGAAAATCGAGGCAACAAAACACATGTTTTGCTCCCATACGAGCTTATCCCGTATCGCCTTTGTTGGGCATATGTTCTTTAAACGCGATGAAATGCGTCTAAGTTCGGTCTTTTACCGTAAAAACACCAGTAATTCTTCCTTAAAATAGCTTTGAATTATTGTTTATAGCTCACTACGGAAAAGAGTGATAGCCTGGGACCCAAACTAGGCGCGCGCATTTATGGGATTATGTGGGGGTTGTGAATGTAAACAAACGTGGTGGAAAGTGAATTGGAATGTTTCAGCGGGGTTAAACAGCTGAAAATAGCAAAACGGAAGGTAAAATTGACAGAAGAGAAAAACATAAAAACGTGAAGTTGAGGGGAAAGGATGTGCCTTGGACAATTTTACCTCGAGAAAAACAAGAAGAATGCACCGTGAAACAGCTTCAGAGATGGTTTCTTTGCCTTGGATCAACCGGAAGAAAAACGCATCTCGTACAAAGGTAAGTAAGCACGGACCGGGAAGTTCCTGAATTTATTTGTGCACCAAAAAGAACAACAACTTGCATGTGCATGTTCCGTCATAATTCAAGGTGGCAGCTCGACTTGTCCCCCAAGCAATCCCATAAATGAGCGCGCGCTTAGTTTGGGTCCCAGGTTATCACTCTTTTCCGAAGTGCTAAAGTGCTTGATCAGCTACCAGCAGGTAGAAGTCCTGAGTTCGATTCCGGTCGAAAAAACGCTTCTTTTTTTTCTTTTCAGGATTATTTTTGCTATTGTAAGTTTGTTTGGTTTCTTTAAATAGCGTCAGTTTTTTTTTCCAGTTATTAATTTTCTTCCCTATTGCCTTATTTCCCTTTCTTCCTACTTCTTGCCGTTTCCCCAAAGTGCTCGATCCGCGAGGTCCTGCGATTCACGTATTTCTAGTTATGTTAATGCATATGGCTAAATTGAATTCTTTGTGAGGTTATACCTCAGATTAAGAAGATAAAGAAGCAGAGCTTAATTTCTTCTCTTATTCTCGTTGTATATTCCTCCATTTTCCCTATCTTCCAATGTTATGTTCGTTCAGGAGGGTTTGAAAAAAGGATTTTGATTAGGGGTATAAATTAATAGATTGCACTTTTTAGTTTTATCTGAGATGACAAGAGCCATCTGAGTAAGCTAACAAGCCCATCTAGCCTAATACCCAGCCAAAAGTGCCGCTTTTGTGACGCGGGAAGTCATGTACAGTGTTTATATCTATAGGGGGAATAACTGACATCTTTGTTCTGCTGCAGCTTCGTCATGTCAAACGTGGCCACAGGTACTGATAATATCATCGAGAGGGCATCTCTGAAACTCTCGTTTATCATCAAATACCTCCTGCCAGGCATACGGGGGGAAATCTTAGCACTCTGCCACTCACGAGAACCCCAGCCGGACGGCAGCTCGGGACACATGCTGCAATCAGGTAGTTTAGCCGAGGGCTTGTTTTTGCCGAACATGATGAGGCGGCAGGATACCGGGAAGAGTTTCCCGGTCACCTTCAATTTTGACGTGGATATTGCGCGTTGTGTTGAGATGGAGCGTGGTGCCAGATTGGAGACCTGGAGGCAGAATGGAGACCTTAAACCTGGTTTTTGCCGCATTTTAAAGCCTACCAGCTCCGATGGAAATGGAGGCTTGTATTATTCATCTGCTCGAGCTAAGGAAAAAATGTTTGAAAACCTTTCAAGCAGTTTGGACCATTCCGTTTTCCTCCTTGACACCTCGAAGGATAGAGCCGCCGCCCTCCTTGAATCTAGGGAATTTTCCTTGAACTTGGACGAGATCCTCGCGGTTTGTGCTGAGTGGCCCGAAGAGGCGAGCGAATGGCGAGAACGGAGTCGACCAGCAAAATGGCCCAGCAGTGAGCTGATAGAGGACATCATGAAATCAGGTTTTCCTTTTTTATTGCTAAGATGAGAAGTAATATATCAAACATGAGACGCAGTGTGTCATCACCAGATGAAACACCGAGAAGAGAGTTGAAAATACGACGCGCAGCGGGGTATTTTTTACGAAGTGCGAGGTGTTTCATCTGGTGATGAAACACTGCGTCTCATGTTTGATATTTCTTCTCACACAAAATCATTTTTGAAGGAGAAATTAAGGATGCAAAAATGAGCAGTTTTTCATCTGATATCCAACACTCATTAAACATTAATTTCCTTTGAATTTTCTTTATGAATTATTAATGAGTTTGAGAAGAGGGCTTAAGTTATTACGAGACTACATCGGAGCCGTGAAGGACACGAGGCCACGTCTCAGCTATAATCCAATGAGTGGCTTAACTTGTTTGGCTTTTCAATAGACGCGCACTCACCCTAAACGTGCCTGCGCTCTGTAGGCAACAGTAACAGGGAAGCATTGTTACTCAGCCGTGATTTACGAGTCGCCAAATTTCCCATCGCCTTTTTGAATTTTAGCTAGGTACGATAATAATATGATTCTTGTCGCCTAGCGGCGTAGTTTAGTTAGTTTGTAACATCGACTGTGTTACTTTTGTCAGTACGTTAACCCAAATGTCCCACTAAGAAAAATCTTGGGCTCGCTCGATGATGCGAGACACGATCGTAAGCTAAAAGTCTTGCTATTTTTGTCGCAGGTATTCATCTTGTTCCAAAACCACATGCCTTGAGCCAGGACAAGGACGTGGAGTGGCGGATGTCGTTCGCCCTTGCAGAGATAAAACTGGGACGAAGTCTCCGCGAGGAGCAGAGGCTGTGTTACTTGGCTGTGAAAGCACTGCACCATATGGAGCTGAAGGAACCCAAGGGACTGACATCTTATCATCTCAAGACGATTCTGCTCTGGACGTGCGAAAAAACTCACTCCAGTTTATGGACCATGGATACGTTGGGACGGGGTTTTCTGACGCTACTAGACGAAGAGATAAGCTGTTTGAGGGAAGGACGCATATCGAACTACTTCGTGCCAGAGTACAACTTGATCGAACTTGTGAAAAAGGAGAACCTCGGCGTCTGGATCGGGAAACTCGAGGCCATCCGAAACGACCCAATTCCCTTTCTGATCCAATATCACGATCTCTACCTGCGCCTGTCTTCACTCTCGCGACCAAAAAATGAAGACAACGCCTTAAAGGAGAGCAATTGGTACGCTACAGGGATCCGTCTTGTGGCAAAGCACGACTCGATTGACGGGGAGAAGAGCGTGTTCTTGCAGGCGCTTTTTCATCTCGGCTTTTGTTACGCCGCAGAGGGGAAGTTCCTTGACATGGCCTACCTTGCAGCGCACTTCAAGTCGCTTGAAAACGAACTGACGATGGTTGAAGCTCCCTTTGAAGGGCATCCAGCGCGAGTGAAACTTCTCATTCGCTTCATGGAAGCATTGGTCTATTACTACACGAATAATGATGAGCAAACTCCTACTCACAGAATGATGATGATGGTGACCACCAACTTAGCAAGGCTGCAGCACGAAGCTTCGAAAGTAGCCGAAAGTGAATCTGAGCGGGAGCTAAGTTTGGCCAAGGCTTACGAAGGGTTTAGCAAGATTCTCACCTCTGTACAACACGATGCAAGCAGTGCGTTGCTCTTTGCCAACTTCCTGTACGACCAGAGGCGTTTAGATGAGGCCATCGTCGTCCTGAAAAAGACTCGGACCACGCCATGTTGGTGCTCCTTCATTGTATTCAACGAATACACTTCCCACACCCCCGATGATTTTCTAAAAGAGGAATTCCAAGCTCGTATGGAGGTAGAGTACTGGGTGCCCACTTTCACTCTCTATCTCTTGTTCTCTTGTTACGTCGACAATGGGCAAATCGGAATGGCTCTCGAATTGCTGCCGGAGCTGTTTGACGAGCGTGAGAGGTCATTAGAAGCGTTCTCGTATGGCGATTCATGTGTCCTATTGGGGTATTGTTACTTGAGGATAGGGGAGCGGGAAGAAGCTTTGAGTCTGTTCAAGGAGGCTGTAGATGAATACGTGTCGGACGCGGGGAAGTACTGGTACAAAAAAACGCTACAAGAGGATGGCACACAGATGCCGGAAAGGCCCTGATCGAAATTGACTTAATTGACCATTGTTTCCTTTAGTCTTTCAGAATGGAAATTGACCATTCAGGTGAAATTTAAATCACTGTATTTCAAGTGGGGTGTCACTATTTTGCGACTAATATTCTGCAGTTAATTAAACGGCCCGTTAACAGTATAGTTAGACGATGGGCTAAAGGAAAAATGAAGTTGATTTACTCACATTAAAGTGAACGATTCTTCCTGCATATTTCTTTTACAAAAGCCTGGCAATACGCTTTATTTTGGTTCAGGAAGAAATCGGTATTCCTTCAGTGTAGGTAACCGAGCATTTCCTGAGGCGCAGGCAATAAGCACGCGGTCTTATTCGTATAAAAAGTGAGCAAACATTCAATCTTTATTTAGTCAAAGCCTACGTTTCCTATGACACATGGTTAACCATAAGTGAACCAGTAAATAAGGGCCTCGCAAAAAGCTATTTCATATGTATTTCATGTCTTTCAAATGGCTTTATGTTCTCAACAAGACGCTATGGAAGCGTATAATTGGGCGCCGAGGCACTAGGTGTGTGTGAAGCTTTTTATGTGTGTTAGGGATGTGTGAGTAGTACAGTAGCGTTGTATATATTAGTGGTTGATTGAGATGTGTGAAGTGGAAGACAATGGCTGTAGTTTGTTAATCATTGAAAGTTGTTTCTCGTAGAATTTAATATGAAGTAACAAAAAATAATTGTTTTGGGAGGTACTGTGTTGAAGTGAAGTGGTGGTTGTAATAAGTCTTATCAAAAGTCGAAAATATACTTGTACTTATTTTAAGCGTTGTTAGGCTTTCTCTTAAGGATGGTTTTTCGCTTATTTTTGATAGTATTTGTATGGACATGGATAAGGCCAAACGTTTATTTAATATAGAAAAGGGTATAAATATGTTGGGGGGGGGGGGGTGGCTGAAATTTTGTGTGTGTGCTTTTGGGCTTTGAAAAATCGGTGAGGTCAAGGGGAAGGCGTATAATCTGGCTAGAACTAAGGGCCTGTGGCCCGTTTCTCGAAAGGCCCGGTAACTTTTCGGGCCCGAAATCAAATATACAAGTAGAAATAAAGAGAGTAAGAGAGCGGGTCCTGGCTTAAAAACTACTCCATTTTGTTTCATTAACTGATAGTTTTGTCATGTTAGATGCAAAACTACTGAAACCCCGGTCTTTAATGTAAACGGAAACAGCTTACCGGGCCCGTTAATTATCGGGACTTTCGAGAAACGGGTCCCTGATTACATGAGTCGGGCTGGCTCTCTTTACAGATAGAGACCCAGGCACCTTAGTTAAACGCACCGAAAGTCAACTTTTATTGCAATTATATTACAACTGAGCCAGCCCGGTTAGTTGGGATCCCGGTATTGTGTTGCCGGGATCCCGGGTGGAAATTTTCCAAGTAATCACGTTTGCTGGGCGGCCCGCGAATGAGCCAAGTGAGAAACAGGACAGCGAGTAACACACTGTTCATGCGCATTGCTTTCCCGGCTGATGTGATCGGGCCCTTACTGGCATGAGAGTTGTATTGTCACGCAGTTTGCACGTGAAAGCTTTGGAATTTGCCGCTTCCGTGGTTCGTGTATGAGAGAATACGACTTAATCTAATTAACCCAAGGGTTTTAAAAATAGAACGCGGTTTGCACGTGGAAATGTTAGACTCTGCCCTTTTATGGTTCGACCGTAAAAAGATGCAACTTGTTTCGAGGACCTTTTGCTCAATAAGATTTTAAGAAATCACTTCCTTTCCGAAAATATGCAACGGAATTATGTATCATTTAATACTACCCTTAATTATCTCATGCACGACATCATGGAATTTTGGGTAACATCTTTTTTGGCGCTCGACAACTGAGAGCAAAACTATTGTCAAACTCTTGGCAATATGCCAAACTACGCACACCGTGTGCTGCGAGGACGATTATTTTCCCAAGAGAAAATGTAAATTATTTAATAATTTGTTTCACTCCGTGTACTTTGTTTTTTCCAAACAGTTTGTTTTCTATTGCCGATTTGCTTGTCGTGCGTTATCTGTGGGTCCTTTGTAAAGAAGATAAATGCTGTGTTGGACATAGCGCGCGGCAGACATTCGCGTCGCTAAGGTTGTTTAAGTTCGCACGTACTGCGTTCCCATTGCAACTTTGAATCGAAACAAGCGAACTCGATTACTCTATTTGGGCGACGCGACGCCACAGTTAAACATGACACTCCTTCATAGCCTTGTTGCCTGCGAGCGTTCGAGACAACGGATGTAAGATCAGATGCATGTACACTAGTCTGGTTGGTTTGTGATTATCTGGGCCTCCTGCATATAGTTGTTTGATTGTTAATGATCCTAAAATCAAGGTTCGAGTCGGTATTTAGATTCCTGATAGGCGACCATTTATCTTTGGTTTAAAATACCTCTTGTGGAATTCTTTTCCTTTACCTCAACTGTGGTATAATAAGTTGGCTTTCAGACCCTTTGCCTTAGCATGGAGAAAATGAATAATCGATCATTTAAGTATACATCTTGCCTCAATTCGATCGAGGCCCGTTTTGATCTCCCATGCGAATGTTTTCATCAGCTGGCGAATCTGCTAATGGCTGAAATTTTAGCGTGGCGTCAAAGCGTTCTCTATCTCTTTTTTTTACTTTTAATAATATTAAAATTTACGATCTCTTTTCCACGTTCTTGTGATCTTCGAACAAGTTGTGTTCAGGTACGGCTCCAAAAACTCTTCACATCATAAATTGCAATTCCAAGGCAAAAACACTCATTTCCACGTATTTTGACTCCTTTTATTCCAGCACTTGACCAATCAGTCAACAACTTTAGAATTAAAGTTGCCGAAATGATGACCACCATGACAAGTTCTCTCATAAATTATTCCACTCGCTGACAGGATGAAGGTTCCCGAATGAAGGCCTCACCATTGAAAGATCCATTCTTAAAGTCCCTCCACCCAACCGTATTACCGTTCTCCAGCCCGCATCGCTGAGAAAGTAACTCTATGGTTTCACGTGGAAGCACATAATCCCAAACATTAACTCTGGAAATGTTTCCAACGAACGCATCCCTGGCTTCAAAGCCGGCAGGTACGTGGGAATCTTTGTCGTTTCCGAGAACAACATTTCCTTCCGGAATAATAAGAGTTCCTTTCGCCAAGTCCTCTCCTCTTTCCCTGAACTTGCCGTCTACAAATATCTCGTAGCTCCCATTGACATTTTCCCAGGTCACTGCTAAATGATGCCACAAAGCGTCAGGTGAGATCTGCAATTGGTGCGACCTGGAATCAAATGCAAAAATTCCACAAAAATGGCTAGACATTCCTCATCAGGAGGTTTTTTCTCCTAGAGTTGGTTGGATGGTGTCGTTCGACTATGCCAAACGGTCGATTTTCTTAGCCTAAGAAAACAGCCGACATTTCATGACGCCATCACTGGTTTCCCTGCAAAATGACGTCCGAGAAACGAGTGTACGCGTGTCACTACGAAGATCTGGGTAGTGCTTTTGATTGGTCATGCCGCGTGGGAAATTGGCTTTAACTAATCAGAGGTACTACCTAGATCGGGGCTTTGACGCGTCATCAGTATGGAATTTCTGCGCTCGTTTCTCAGACGTCATTTCGCTGGGAAACCAATGGTGGCGTCGTGAAATGTCCGCTCTTTTCTCAGGCTATTTTTTTCTTATTTTGGTTTACTTTACTTTACTGAATTCGCCACGAAGACTCAACACAGCGACAGGGGATGAAACAGGACTTGCGTCCCAGTTGATATCAACCCTTCATTACGCACTCAACCAATGAAAGGTTCTACCACACCAACGGGGTCTACGCCCCATAATCTTTAACAGCAGTGTTGGTTCTTTTACGTCCAACAAGAATCATAACAGAGAAAGAGCTGTGAGACGGGGCCTACGATTTTTCGTTCCTATCCGAGAAGACTAGAATGTCTAACAATTAGTAGATGTCAAAACAAAAGCAGCACATTCTGCTCGGTTATTTTAAGACCCTGAATTTTGGTCCAGCCAGAATTTTAACCCCCGACCTCCCGCTCGGTAGACCGGCGCTTATCCAATTGAGCTAACCGGGCAGCGGTTGGTTTGTTATCATACTGTTATTATTCCTAGCTGGCTCTCATCTGAATTTGTTATTCTGCCCCTAACCTTCCGTGTATGAACAAGACTTAGCTAGTCCAATTGCTTTTCTTGGAATTAACATTTCTGATGCGTAGAAAAGTATAATTATTTAAATCGGAAAAAAGGAAAATATAACAACAAAAAAGAGCCTTCGTTTTCGTGCTTTGTCAAAGAAACACTAAAGAAAGTTCAATCATGAAAGCGAGGCGCTATTTAGCTATTGTTGGCTCGTGGACGAAGGCTAAGACTACGAGTAAACTGCGTTTCGATTTATCTGGACTGAAAAACTATTGTTGTATTTTCTGGTAACAAGATTTAGCAGATTCTAGACCAACCTTGACATTCGTTTGATCCATATATAGAATTTTTTGACTCTTTCGTGAAAAAATATTTCATTCATCTTCCCCTGGGCAAAATAGTTGAAATATGTTTTGTCCCCGGGATCTGTGAAGCTGACAAATAGGCTAATTGTGAAAGCACTAAGCGCTGGCAAGGCTTCCTTTAGCAGAACATAGTCTTGGTTGGTCCTCCTTGGAAATTCTATATCAAACGTTGAAGAAGGATCTGGATAAGAACACACAAGGTGTTAGTT